GCCTTGAGTCAATATGACTAAAGAAACCTAATTAGTGAGACAATTCCGCCGCGAATTCTACTTTACGCGAGCACGCGAAACAATTAAAATGCGACAAATACTTCAGAATAGTGGTTGTATTTTTCTTTCCCTTTTTACCTATAAATGTCAATGAAGAAACGTTTCTTTGGCTAGAAGTTATGCACTGCATAACTATGATCATATCGCTACTGTTCAAAGGCGTGTTTAAGAAAAAACACCAGGCCTGCACGAATGGCGCACCAAAATCACAGCAAAGGCTAGAAGAGCGGTCTTACACAGCCTTTTCTCAAAAGTCATTGGGTAACTGCTGCAAGCACAATTTCTAAGTAACCACTGCGGCATTATGATAATAATGCCTGGGTAGAAGGCTGGCATTCACTATGCTATCCTTCGTCATTCTTCTGAGGAGAGTAGTATCCGCTAAACACTTGCTAGGAAGTTTGCGCCAATTGCTCATGCAGTGGCTGACGACGATGAGGAATTATGGCTGAAGTGGTACGCGTCACAGTTAATAGGGGAACAAGAACAACCTTTTGTGATGGGTTGGAGCATTGGAGTGCCCACTTGTTACGCTAATCGCATTGTCTTGTTCTTTTGGTGTTCTAAAACGGTTTACAATATTGATAGTAACGCGATTCCTTTCCCTACATCAAGCCTGCCTAAGGTAAGTTTACGAACAAGTACCAAGCAACGTCGTGGCTCTGTGGTAGAATACGAGGTTGTAATACAGCGTACCCGGGTTCAAGCCCCGCTGTGTCCTTGGTACCAGGTTTTTTAGGGGCAAAGCTTATAAAGCGTGGGTATGTTCATCCCTTGTACGTATGTAGTAGTGCGTAGCCACCGGTGGCACATACTTGCTCTAGAGTTGGTATGTGCCACAGGGGATGCAAGATGGGAGATGGCGGTACTTAGTGTTCACTAGATGGCCGCACAGACGGACGGACAGACGGGTAGATAGTCGCGCGGACGTACGGACGGGTGGACGCACGAACAGACAGACAGACAGATGGATGGACGGACGCATGTATGGACGCACGGATGGTCGCGCGGATGGACAGAAGCAATGACGAACGGACGGAGGGAAGCACGGACGGGCTGACGAACGCTTCGCCCCAATCATCATTTACTCCATGGATATGCTGTGATTTTTTTCTATTTCGTGGGATAGTGGTTACGGACACCGGTGGAGACAGCGGTAAACTACGGCGCCGCGCGTGACCCGAGTTTTGATCTCATAACAGCTTTCACTGTAAACAAAAAAAAAAATAGGGGGCCCTAAAGCTTCCCTGTTAGGCGTGGAACGGAATACCGACTGCCTGTTCCTAGTGTGTATTTCAAACACATGAAAACCTTTCGTTTTTTTTATGCACCCACTACGTGGTCTTAAGGGAGTAGGCGCAGTAGCGTGTGCGCCTTTGTAGTGAGGTACCAGCTTTCAACCACGGAGCCATTATCACCGTCACATATTATGGCGCCCTTAGGCAATGCGCACTTGTGCCACGCATTGCTACCGCAATATTTCGTGTTGCATTCTGAAGCATGTATACAGGACGCATGTGTTTATGAAGCGAGAAAGCTACTTTTGCTGCATTTCCAAGCAGAGAAAGTTCTTTTCACTGTTTTCGCAAGCAGAGGCGCGGCCTCGAGGTAGAACGTTCGCATGCCACGCAAAGGATCTGGGTTTGATTCCCACTAGGACTCAAACAATTCTGGTTAAGACCGAACTCTGCTCCAGGATTCTTTAATCAATTTTTTATTTGCATCGTTGCCAATTTTCCGGCCACGCATGAGAGAATAATTTTTCGCTCACAACCAGTGACGCCAACACCAACGCCGATGCCAGAATTTCTGCGAAATGAGCTCTTTAACGCTATCGCATAAAAAATGCATCATATTGTCATTTTTCTCCAACCTGCAGGTCCAAACGAGACGAAGTGGGGGTGGAGAACGAGGCAATGGGAAAAAAAAAAAAACGTCATTCCTTCAGATTTTGCAGTATATTGCAGTATAAGCAGCTTAAGTTGACTCCAAGGGCGCCCAAGCAGTTTTTATGGGCCCACTATTTCCCATCTACGCAATGAATTCGGCCAGAAACCGGTGGTACATTGCTCCGAAATTTCTAGCAGATCAAGCACTTGCAGTCCTTTTTTGTGCTAATGCTTTCTTTTTTTGGGCGCTTGCACTCCATTGGGTTATTCAATAATATGAACCTAGATATGTTCTGATGCAGTCTATTCGCCTCTTTTTGCCATTTTGGATGCAGAACTGCACGGGCATTTTATAACTTTCAAAATTGTCTGCCAGGCATAGTGAGGTGATGAATTTTAAATTTTCCCTAGCTTGTTATTTTTCTGGTATAAAAAAATGACTCATTAAAACTCGGTTAAGAAAGGTGTTTGTAAACGGCTTGACCTGAAGATCAATTAAATTTCGCACGCGTCTCTTGAAAGTATGCGTGGAAAGGAACAGCCTCGATTAAGTAGCGCGAATGTAGTGAGTCCTGTCCTCCACAGCAGTCAGCACTTTTTCGTGTAGTTTTCCACCCAAGAAGCTCTATATAACGTTCTCTCTTGTATGCCCCATTCCTCCTGAACAAAATTATAATATTTCTTCATTATGCGTTATTGGTTAACTAAATACGAAACTCCCAATGGCATTTTGTTGCTTTTTGTGGCGTTTTGCTCTCCAACATGCCCGAATTCAAAAACATTTCCGCTTGCCCACCAGGCACCATATCAAGCAAACTTATGGTGGATATCGCTTATGGTGGATAACGCCGATATCGTTCGCTTCGAACGATGAGGCTCGCGGGTGACTATGCGTCTTGATCACTTGTCATCACTCGTACAGCAGTTTCTTTAATTTATTTTGTTGTTCAAAGGCCAGTAAATACAAATTGAACACGCGAGTTTGGCCTGCACATTTTGACTGATTAAAATACGGTGCTACAGTTACTGATAAAAAGAGGCTAGGTTGAATACACGTGTTATTTTAAGCGCCATATTTCAATCACGCGAAATTAACTAGGCCAGTACCTCACTTTGCTCATTTTGACCATATAATTTGATATATTTCATTGAGTGGACTGAGACTTAAGCTTAACCACGGAGAAGGTACGAGAAAACGAAGATGGTCATGTACAAGATGGTTCCGTTAGTGGTAATCTAAACGTCCCAGTGCCGCACCTAGAGTAGCTTAAAAGCTTCTGTTTTATAGGTCTCGTTGCCGTTCATAAATACACAGGCTCCTTATACGCAAAAGTCCACGGCACCTCGACGTAGCCTAATGGACTGTACATACCCTCGACCCTTCAAGGAGGCACTGTTGGCCAAATAAAAGCAAGGTAAAAAGAATTAATTAGTGTGCTTTACGTGTAATATAGCGAAGTTGCAAGTGTGAGCGGGAGTATTGAAATGGTTAGACGACTAAAAGTTTTTTTCAGTAAAGTAGCAATATCAAGCGATTCGCTTATGTGATTATTTATTTAGTATTATCCTCATGTTTTTTTTTTTTGCTTTGGTACAACCACTACGTTAGCGTATTCACCTCTAAAATGGAGCAGAATATGCGCTTTTTATAGCCTTTGATTTTATAGCTTCTGGAGTGCAGTTAATTCATCGCAATGTGACTCCATTTGTCGCGATGCATTCAAACTGGCAATTGGAATGTACCTGTCAGCGTTTCTCTCATGATCAGCTCGTTTTAGTACGCTGCTTTTGTCTGCCATTGCTTCAGTTAGAATTACTTATAAAACTTTAGATACTGATGATATTCTGCTTTAAGCAGTAATCAGGAATAAGTTCACCCACCTTTGTATGTTCCTGACGTGTTTTTGCAACTTTTCACCGTATTGCATGAACAAAAAACACAGATTTCGCTTCGGTCATTTGCCGTTGCACTTAGGTTTCTTTACCCATAACTATACTTTAACATGTACTAGTCAATATCAGCAAAAAACTTGGTCAATCATAGCACTCGTGCAAAGGTGCCCTCCAAGCAGCAAGTACGTGGGAAAATATTACAACTGAAAAGAACTGCGTGGAATGAACAGGGACATTCACCTGGGATGTGAATTGTCGTCGTCTATTTTTCAGCCACTGAACTCAGTAAAATTAAACACGTGTTAGAGATCAATCACTGATGCACATAGTAACGAAAGGAGAACTCAATTTCTCTTCATGTGCAGCACAATGATAATGTGACCGGAAACTTGCATTCCTATACAAGCATGTAGATGAGAACGTCGGACAATTCCAAAACGCTAAGTCACAATTTTTACTCTCGAGCATTGATTGAGGCTGTGAGAGACAAAAAAATCCTTCACACCCGAGACTCGTTTTTATAATACAGGATGTCGAATGAGCCGCAAGAGACGACGAAAGTTGAAAATATAAGTTCAAGTAATATACAATTCCAAGCAGATGGCCAGCTTGGTTCTCAGCTTGAGAGAAAAAAAAAGGACAAGGGCGAGGAGATCAACCAGGGCTGAGCCAACACCACCTAGAACTAGGAGAAGGCCCGCGCATGTCCCCCTCTCCAGACCAACTACGTCACCACAGTGAGATCTGCAAGCCCGACGACGCGAGCAGAGAGAGCGCACGGCGCGCACGAGAACTGGCGCGGCTCGGCTTGGCTTTCGGCTGTGGCTAGTACGGAATCCATCTGCCAGCATGCGCGTTGTGGGTAGAAAACTGTTTATTGAATGTGGCAGCCGCAAGGTGTTTTTTTATGCAGAAAATAAGGAAAATTTATATGTGTTTTCATTTACATCATGGTTTATTCATGCGGCGCAGTACTGGTTATAAAAATTGTGATATACTGCAGGCTTGAATACATAACAGCACCAATGCTAGCGGTATCAGCCTAAGCATCTGGCAACGCTGACACTATTTCCAGTGCTGCAGCTTGTTGGCGTGCATTTTCTTTGTACTCAGTTGCTCAGGCGTGCTGCATGAACTTTTGCTGGTGTGCTGGCGAAAATGCCTGGGTGCTGCTGTGCGCCGAACTGTCGATCGAACTACGCTAATGGACCGCGAGCACGCGTGTACAGGTTTCCGTTGGACCCCGCCCAAAATGCAGCGTGGACGAAGGCTGTGCGGCGGGAAAACTTCACACCTACGAAGTACACTGTGGTAAGCACATGTTCCCGTTTGTTTTCCGGCAGTCGTGCTTCTCGTGGGAACAGAGTCTAGTTAATTGCGTGACGCATGCAACCGTTACGACGCGCTATGCACCTTAAGGATTGACAACTGAGCAAATGGTGTGTTTCAGTGTAATATTGTTCCATGTTCGTGCCGTAAAGTGTATAGTGCCATGTTTACGCCTCAGGTTGCTCATGTACGGTTCTGCCTAATCAGAAATTGATTTAGCGCAATGTATTCGCGAGTAAAACTGCCTGCGTCGAACATACGATGTAGACGGCGTAGTTACTTTACATGTGGGGCGTCCGCCACTACTTGAGCGCCAAACAAACGATGGCTCGTGGTTTACCGTCTCAAAGCAAGGTTCGCTAAGCGAGACGTCATTCTTGTTGACTGCGTGGTCGTGGTTGCCGTACAGAAGCAGATAAATAAAGCGAAAGAATTTGTCTTAATCTTTACAAACGGCGCACTGGGATCATATAATTCTGTAAAACTGTTATGTATAATTCTGTCGCTTTCATCTTATACTTCGTTGTTTGTGCTTATGTTCCAGGTCTGTGAGCACCATTTTCTTGAAAGTGACTTCGTAGACTCCACCAGCTACACTGACAGCATGACTGGGAAAGTAATTGAAGTACCCCTCAAGCTGAGGCGCTTGAAGCCTTCTGCAATTCCAAGCGTTTCCCTAATTGCCCTGCTTACTTGTCCCGCCAAGAAACTTCTGCACGCGAGAGCCCAGAAGAAAAGCGCGCTCGTGTGGACGCAGAAGCGTTGCAGGAAGCAATACGGTTATCAGAGCAGTCTCACGAAGCGGAAGAAAAGAAGAATGCCATCGCCACTTTCGAAGACCTATTGACAGCAGTAGGTGACCTCTCTCTTACTGACTTCTGGACCAAGGTGGTCACCCAGCAACAAGTACTTTTCCTCAACTTCAGCGACCAAGGTGCCCAGTTGTGCATCGTGCAGTGACAGTGGCATCCGACCTTTCTTTGGCAGTGTATGTTGGTGAAATGAGGTTACAAAACCTAGGTTCCTCTGTGCTTCCTATGACAATTTCTGACTTGAGAGTGCTTCACAAAGTTCTGTGCGATGTGGAAGACGTCACGAAGGATTCCACAAATAATGAACTCCAACTAGAGATTCTGCTGAAGCGTGTCGTGGCACTCCTGGAGCAACTGTCATCTTCAGCTCTCCTGCATGAGTGGCAAGTGCAAGTCGTCAAATTTGTGACACAGCAACTTCAAGTTCTCCTCACTAAGGCGTCGACTTACCCAGCTGACTTTCTGGTGTTCTGCAGCCTTGTGTACACAATATCGCCGCACGCATACAGATTCATCAGGAGTACAGCAAAATTAAAGCTCCCACATCCACAGACAATAAGACGCATTTGTGCCTCTTACCGTGCTAGCCCATCCAGAGAGCAACAAGAGGATTCATTCCTTTCTTATGCAAGGAGACTGGCATCAACACTAAAAGACCATGAGCGCTTTGTGACGCTTATGATGGACGAGATCCACCTGCAGGCATCCTTTCAGTACAAGGGTGGTTATGTCACTGGTGCAGCGACAAACAATGAAAATGCGGCAAAGACAGCATACGTCTTTATGATACAAAGCTTGTTATCATCAAACAAGGATGTTGTGCATATACTTCCAGTAGCACAAATAGAAGCGAAACAGCTACATGAATTTCTTGATCTGCTGATCAGGCACCTAGAAGACATTGGAATTCGAGTAGTTGCAGTGGTGTCTGACAACAACTCGATCAACCGAAAGGCTATGTCATTTTTTGCTGATCCTCCCAAAGTGAGCATTGTATACAGGCACCCGTCAGACTCATCAAGACCCTTGTTTTTTATTCTGGATGCAGTGCATATATTAAAATGTATCCGAAATAATTGGCTGAATCAGCGTAATTGTGGAAGGTGCATCTTCTTTCCCGACTTCAGTGCCCTCTCGGAAAACCCATCTGTCCTGACAGCCTCGTTTAACACACTATGCAAGTTGCATGAAGGAGAAAAAAATGAGCTTTTGCGACTAGCTCCAACTTTGTCCTTCAAGTCGCTGAATCCATCCAATCTAGAGCGACAAAATGTAAAGCTCGCACTGAGGATCTTCAACAGTTCAACTGCTGCAGCACTAAGAAGCACCAAAGTCGCACTTGAGCATAAAGCTGGTACATTGGAACTTATTAACATTGTTTTGACATGGTGGAATGTGGTGAATGTCAAGACCCCATTCAAAGGTCAGCGTCTCCGAGACCCATTTCAAGAACCGATAAGTGCACTGCAATGCCACCAAATTGAGTTTCTAAACAAGATTGTGGATTGGTTGGACCACTGGCAGAGCTTGAAGCATGATGCTGGCCAGTTAACTCGCGAAACGCACATGGCACTGCGACATACCTCACATGCCCTTGTTGAGGTGTCAACGTATTGCATTGAAGAACTTCGGTTCAAATACGTTTTGCTAGGGAAATTTCAAACCGACAGTTTGGAAGACAGGTTTGGCAGGTACAGGCAGCTGTCTGGTGCCCAATACCACGTTTCGATACGTCAGATTTATGAATCCGAGCAGAAGCTGAGACTTCAGAAGCTACTTGATCTTCCCAACTTGGATACCATTGCACCTTGCATTCCTACCACTGATTTGAAATTCCTTGTTAAGCAGTTTGATGTTGCAGTGATGGATGATGATGTGAAGGAGAAGGAGAAAATGCTACCAGCTATTACATATGTAGCAGGATATTGTGCATATGCTGCAGTTAGGAAACTTGCCTGCTCTTCCTGCCAGGAAAACTTGACTGTTGAGAATCGGACCATTGAACTGGATGATGATGTGCTGATAGCTAATGCAACGCGTGGTGGACTGAAATTTCCACAAGCGGTAGTTGTGAATGCCGTGCTCACAATGGAAATTGTGCTTGACAAGCTGAGAAGTCCGAAGTACGCATCACAATTTTTTGCTTGCGCCAAACAAAAAGAAGTTCTTGTAAGCCTCGCAACTTCTCTTGTTGAGTGCAATGAAGACTTGGATTTCTGCGATGGTGGCCACTCACCTGAACTTGTCTTAAACTATGTTCTCAGTGCTGCTGCCAATACGCTGCTGAATAATTTGTGCAAAGTTCAAAATAACAAGCTGAATGAAAGCAAGGCTGCAAAGCGGAACAAAGTTGAAAATAAAGGAACTGAAAGCAAGGCTGCGAAGCGGAAGCTCAGTACTCTTCAAGCATAATCTTCTTTCTTATGAATTGTTCTGCCTGTTTGGATTATGATGTATCACGAATAAATATGTCTCACAACGAAAATTTAAGCCTCTTTTAAACTGCACGAAATGGCTGTGCATGCTGTTAAAAATTTCACGAGTGCCTGATGAATTATTTGAAGCCAGCGTTTAGTTAAAACATACTGAAAATATTCCTTAATGCAAATATTCTGTGCACTCTAAAACCGCGAAAATAATAATAATAATGTAGGGAAAATGCCACTTCGGAAAGAAAAAGCGTAGCATTGGGTGAAGCCGACTTTTAGGCCGATCTCACTGCGGTGACGTCACGCAGCCCTGCACAGGCCTTCTCTAGTTCTAGGTGGTGTTGGCTGAGCCTGGAAGGCTTCCGTGCACTGTGTAGAGGGAACAGGGAGGGAAAGTTGTAATGATGAGAAATGCATGCAGAACCTACGATTACGGTCCTAGTATAATGCAGCCTACATTCCATACCTGAGCAGTTTCACACGGAGAACAGCTTAGCGCACATGAGCGAAGTAATCGCTTAAAGTCAGTATTCACAATGTTTTTTTTGCTTAAAATATTTGACAAGGATGGCTTCACGAGGCTTAATCACTGAGATGTGTCTTAGAAGTGAAGCGATAATAGAACCAGGGAGGAGTTGTTTTATGTGTGAACTTACCTATGCGTATGACGTCCGGTAATGCCGCTACTGTGTCACACTGCCAAAGTAGTGGCGCTGTAGCTTTCGATATACACAGCACCAAAAGGGTCCCTCGAGCGAATGTCCAGCTTGCTCTACACACGGTGCACCCCAGTTCCCAGGCCATGTTCTCGGATGAAGATTCCGCCAGAAGATTAATGTGCACTTCAACGTTAAGGGCGACTGCTTTTCTTCATTGAGATCACAGGCAGCGCAGGCATTATCAATTTTCTTTCCAAGTGAGGTGTAGTCTTTTTTTTTTTCAATTATACTTATGAGAAAACTTTCAAGCTGCTTGTACTACACTGCTCTTTTTTACTCTGTACGCAATCAGTCATCAATATGTGGATAGAAACACATCTATTCGAATTTCAGAATTTTGAACATCCACTTCGGCAAAAACAGTTTTCTGTTAAATTTCACGGTTCCAAGTGCTACACATGAGATTAAAAAGGTTATTTTCTTTACCTTCCAAGTCAATTGTGTCAGCTCGAAGGGTCATCTGAATATCTGGAACGCCTAAATGTTTTTCTACCTTTCTCGCGCCATTCAATGTCAGCACAGGATGGTCGCGGAAATTTATTGAACCTGTCTATTAAAAATTAGAAGCATACGCTAAACATCGCTGATGCTTCGTTAGGAAAATAAAAAGCGATATCTAAAGTATTAAATTGATCATTTCGAAACTGTTGCTACTAAACGGCGCATTTTTTAAAGCAAGCTCATAGCTACCAGCCCAAAAATTGTTTTTGAAATGTTAGATTTTTTAAATTTTACAAGTCTTTTAATCCAACACAAAGCAAAGTGCTTCATAAAAAAATAAAGCTATCAGCTCCTCAAATTTACTAGATTGAATCCGTATTAACATTGAGTAAACCCAGAACATTTTTGGCAGTGACTAAAATGTTGTATTAGTAAGGTGCCAGTAACTACAAAATAACTTTCTCAAGCGCCATGTTCTTACCACGTCTCGGTTGAGGCAGCAGGGGAGCACTTATATCCAACTTGTAAAAAAAACACGCCAATACACATATTCCCAAGTTCAATCACTAGACATCGGTCGCAGTAACCATGTAGCTTAAAGTGTTCACGAGCGTGCGCTAATTGAAACTCTCACAAATCGATAGCCTCGAGAAAGTAGAGATCAAATGGCACGTCGAGGATGCATTTGACGTGGTGGAAAGCTCTGTCTCGCGGGACATCTCATCAGGGATACTGTACACATCACCATCTGGTGTTTGTCCGAAGAGATTACGGTGAGCTACGGACACTGATGGTTTGACACCTGCGATGCGAAATCACTACTCTGTAGACACTGGCTGGACGAGTTGAGTCGACGCAGGGACGTTTCGTAATTGCAGAGGACAAAAACAGGCGATTGTCACTTGGCTCAACAAAATCTTTCCTCCAACGCGAGCAGTGGGCAGCAGAAGCCACCAAGCGGGAGCGCAGACCGCCGGCTACTGAGCCGTGGGCCGCAGCGGCAATACAGCGCCGCGCATCCCTTGTTCCCCACTAGCGCGGTTGCGTGGGGGAAGGAAAAGGAACCGAGTCAAGCCACCCACAGCGCTGATTCGTAGGCGTGGCTTCTAGAGAAGGCGCTCGCTGGAGGTGAGAAGGAGATGAGGGTGGGTGGGAGAAGGGGAGCACAGGCGCCTGTACGAGGCGCAAAGGCGACGGCGCGGTCGTTGTAGAGATTCCCGTAGCGCCATCTCTGAGTGCTTTCGCGTGTGCTCACGCACAACTGCACAGCCAGTGGAATGGGGGCTTCTGCATAACGTCTCGATGTGAACTACCCTGAAAATGATGAAGCTGTCTCGGATCGTGAAAACTTTCGTGTAGCTTATTTAGATGTTCTTTCCTCGGCAAAGCTTTTTTTTTTATTTTTCATGATTTTATGATATTTTAGCGTTTGTTCAGGAAGGGTTGCAAGTAAGCTGGTACCTTTTCAAGTATCGTTTTAAATCAAATTATCCTTAATCAACAACAAGCTAACCGTGCTTAAAAATATGTTAGAAATAACATTCTGACAACTTCTGCAGAATGGTTACTACTGTAGGTTGCTATTTACCGCGGGCAACATCAACCAAAGCCGAGGTTTGCATAAAGAAGAACCACGTGACTGAGTGCTTTTATATGTAAGGTTTAGCGCCATTACTTATGCAAGATACGAGTCATCGATGTTGCGAGCAGATCCGTCGGTGAAAGACGTCTTAGGAAATTGGTTAATAAATTCGGGAATACTCCTAATGGCCAGGTCTGCGAGACAGCCTGGGCAGTCAACCCATAAAATAAATAAAACTTTCAAATACGTCACTTAGAATGGGTCGCAATTCCAGATGCTATGTCAGCGTTTCTGCTCAGCGTTTAAAAGAAGTAGAACGGTGACTACGGTTGTCGCTATAATCTATATTGCTCTCCTTTGACCTACTTGACGCATCAATAGCACGGGCTTTCAATCATTCGTTGAAGGCATGATTGAGGAATCCAATGTTGCTCTGCCCAAGCGTCTACCCGAGTTTCATGAGCTCTTGTATACGCTCTTCAACTGTTGTACTCATTTGTTACCTGTGTACATGAGCCACTTTATTACTCTTCTTAATCCTTAAATTGTAAACTTTCAGTGGGTGCAACACAGTGCACTTAATGTCTTCACTTGATTGTGTGTTTGTCAATCTTATGCTGAGTCATTTTGCTCTGCTTAGGCGTATTTGGATACCGTTACTCACTACAGTCCATCTTAGGCATCCCTCTATGCTCTCTACACATTATTTTTAAAGAAGATATTCTTTCTGACCGGCTCTTTTCAGGCCTCCAACAAGGAGCGAGTGCTGTAGTTTGGAATAACTTTGGGAGCAGTGCGCACTTTAATGAGTCAGTCTTCCGTCTGCGATTTCGGAACGTCGCATTGAAACGCTATGGTGCATTTTTCATTCTCTTGTAAACATTGAAGAAGTGTCGTCGATCCAAAACTCTCTTTTTCCGGAGACAGTGCACCTATATTCAGGAGCTTTCATCAAAATGAGGCAAATTCAGAAACTAAACTAGCTCAAGTAAGGCTCTTATGGCACATACATACTCCCAACTTTCTTCTAAAACAGTAAAAAACAAACAATAATAATTTGCAAGTTACTATTGTTGCTTCAGCTGAACGTTCAGAGTATGTATGAGATAATATTGATTGATATGTGGCGTTTGACGTTTCAAAACTATCATATGAATATGAGCGACGCCGTAGTGGAGGGCTCCGAAAATTTTGACCGCTGGGGTTCTTTAACGTGCACCCAAATCTAAGCACAAGGGCTTACAGCATTTTCGCCTGCATCGAAAATGCAGCCGCCTTAGCCGGGATTTAATCTCGTGACCTCTGGAGGAGCAGCAGAGGGACTAGGCCAGCATGGCGAGGTGAGACAATGTCGCACTATTTGAAGTAGTTTCAGTTCTGTATTGGGTCCATTAAAAAAAAAAACAAAAGAGAAAACGCGGCTCAATTGTTATAACATAGAAAATTTTCAAGCAGTGATTGTGACTACATCAATTTGCTGTATTTTCTTCTCTATTTCGTCGTCTTCTTCTCCTTGCATGTGCTGCTGACGCATGGGATGTGGGTCGCTGCACTCTCCGGACCACTTGCCGATCCCCTCACGTTGGTAATATGACATCGCATTTCAAATAGACGCCTCCTCTGATTTTTCCCTCTTTGTTTGGTGTAACACGTCTTTAGCATTCCTTGCTGCTTCGTAATTTTACCCCGCCACGGTGGTATAGTGGCCAAGGGGCTCGGCCACTGACCAGCAGGTCGTGTCATCGAATCCCGGATGTGGCGTCTGCATTTTTGATGCAGGCGAAAATGCTGTGGCCCGTGTGCACAGATTTGGATGCACGTTAAAGAACTCAGGTCGTCGAAATTTTCGGAGCCCTCCACAACGGCGTCTCTCATATTCATATGATGGTTTTGGGACGTCAAACCTCACATATCAATCAATATTGGCTCATGCATACTCTAAAGGTTTATATGAATCAGCAATAATAAATTACAAGTTATTATTGTTTATTATTACTGTTTATAGTAAAGTTAGAAGTATGCTATGTGCCATCACAGCCTTACGTGCGCTGGTTTAGCTCAAAGCACTCGTCAAATCACTCTTCCAGCCTCTCTTGAAATCCTGGTACAATTTCATATAGATTTTGAGGTGTTCAATCATGCGTTCAGTGCGAGAATTGGCCTCAGGATTATAAGGTGCTAGATATCGAAGCACAAGGTTCCTTTCACTGGCCCTGTTGCTTAAATAGAGATTGCTAAACGCGGGTTCATTGTCTTCAACGATGACCTTGGTGGGCTTGACAGTTTTTCTCTAGCAGTGTTATTACGTAATTCA